GAATAGTGCCCCAAGGGACAGATAAAGGCCAGCCAAGGGCCACATCTGGCTTCCGGGCCACAGTTTGGAGACTTCTGCTATAGGGGAAGGGGAGGCTGTTAAAGTAAAAATTGTCTTCTTAGGGACTCCATTAGTCCTCTCTAGGGAAGGTAAATATCTGACTTGGTGCTGAGTTCAGGTGGACATCTTTTTGGGGGAGCCCTTAAGTAGGGGATGCCACATCATTTGGGTGTGCTTTGATGTAGTGGTAGGTTAGGAGGAACTCTCTGGTTTGAGATAGTGCTTAGTGCACGGAAAGGTTCCTGGCGAGTAGGTACAAAGAAAGGGGCACCATCTAGTGCCGAACACCCTTCTGAAAATCCCTTTCAATAGGCCAGTACAGTGTTGTTATCCCAAATACCACCACCCCTCCAGCAAAGGCCTCTTCCCCAGCATGCCATGCTGCAAAATTGCCCTTTTTTTCTACACGTTGATTGTTTTATGAACTCTGAGATATTATTAGTCGTAACGTTTCTTCATGATCTTCTTCAGGCTTAAGCACGTCTATCTCATGCAGATGAAGGTAGAAACATCTATGCCTGCACCCTTTGCCTGATGTCCTCTCTAGGGAAGGTAAGTATCTAACTTGATGCTGAATTCTTGAAAGCTTTCAAGCGGCCATCTTAATGAGGGAGCCCTGAAGTAGGGAATAGCACATCATTTGGGAATGCTGTGAGGGACTGGTAGATTAGGAGGAACCCTCTGGTTTGGGACAATGCTCAGTGCAGAAAAATGTTCGTGGTGAGTAGGGACATAGAAAGGGACACGATCTAGTGCCGAAATCTTCATGAAAATCCCTTTCAATAAGCCAGTACAATGTTGTCATCCCGATACCACCACCCCTCCAGCAAAGGCCTCTCCCCCAGCATGCCATTCAGCAAAGTTGTCCTTTTTTTCTACAACAGGTTGATTGTTTTATGAACTCTGAGATATTATTAGTCATAATGTTTCTTCATGATCTTCTGCAGGCTAAAGCATGTCTATCTCCTGCAGATGAAGGTAGAAGCATCTATGCCTGCACCGTTTGTCTGATGTATATTTCGTTCTATATCATCGGTTTCCAATCCTTCATCCTCACCTTAGCCGACCCTTCTTCCTCTGTGTTTTTGTCCGTCTCCTTTTGATATGTTGCACGCGGTTGCGGAGCAGCAGTCATTGGAAAGGAAAGCTCCCTTCTGTCCACGCCTGCAAGGCTGTTGATTTTTAAAAGGATTTTACACTTTGCCAACGGACAGCGGAGGAGACGTCTTTTCATGTCAATCGCACAACCGGGGAGAACATGAAAAGGCGCAGCGGAGACCAAACCAGGAACATATCAGAACGGATATAGATGGAATGAATAATTATCCCATCTACACTTCCCCAATAGAACGATTGCTCTTCTTATATGAAATTCACTATTTTACTAAATTCTGCAATGATCTGGATTTGTTCATAGAGTGAGTAGTCAAATATTAACTGTGGAAGCCAAAAAGGGAAAGTGTGTGTTGGGGAGGGGAGGGTTGCAACATGTTCTCTAATCAGGAATGTATGCTTTACGGCCCTTTCACACTGCTCCATTAAAAAAAATGCATATGCATTTTGAATGCATTTTTTTTATCCGTTTTCTAGTTGCCTGACTCCACAAGACTGCTTGAGAAGAGCAAATGTGATGCATTTTTAGTGCGTTTTTCTTTCATATTAAAGTTAAAAAATTAGAAGCATGGACAGCCACTTTAAATTGCATTAAAGGAGCTCCACCTTTACTATCAAAAATTATTTAGGCTGCTTTCACACTGCACCTTTAAAAAAAAAAAACGCACGCTTTTATCTTTTTTCAATGAATTTTCAAATTTCCTGCGCCTTTGAAAAATGGACACGTGACTATAAAAAGGCACTGAAAACACAAACGTGGTGCATTTTCGGCGCGTTTTTGATGTGTTTTCCATTAATTTTAATGGGGATATGCACCCGAATATGCACCAAGAAAGACTTTTAAGAACAAAACTAAAATGCAAATGTCCAGTGTGAAGAGTTCCATTGGATTTTTACCACTTCAATACCGGGTACTTTTACTCACTTCCTGCCCAGGCCAATTTTCAGCTTTCAGCACTGTCACACTTTGAATGACAATTGCGCAGTCATGTAACACTGTATCCATATGACATTTTTATATTTGTTTTGAGACAGATATAACTTTACTTTGCTGGTATTTAATCACCACTGGAATTTTATTTTTTGCTAAATAAAAAAAAATCAAAAAAATTAAAAAAAAAAAGTCTTACCTTCTGCTTTAAAATTTTGAAAATAAGTAATTTTTATTCTTCAGTAATGTGCACTGATGAGGTGGCACTGATGGGCACTGATGAGAAGGCCCTAATAAGGCTGCACTGGTGGACACTGATGAGAAGGCACTGTTGAGGCAGCACTGAAACTGCACTGATGAGGCAGCACTGATGGGCATTGATAGGCGGCACTGATAAGCTACACTGATCTGCACTGATGGGCAGGGCTGTGGATAAGTGGGTACCACCAGTCCTCCAGTATGGGGCCCATGCCAGCAGGGGGGCCCAGACAGCTGGGTGTATCAGATTTGGGCAGGGAGGGTGATCGGGGCAGCAATTACTGGAACCAATCCCTGTGTGGCTCACTCTGCAGCAGCTAAAAGCTGGCTTCTTCTCCTCTCTCTCCCACTGGCTTTTAGCTGCTGAAGAGAGAGCCATACAGGGGATCAATTCCAGTGACTGCCCCTCTGCCGCACCCATCACCCTCCCTGTGTACCATACATTTCCCCCTGTTGCCCAGGCCCCCCTGTTTTGCCCCCACCTCCGCAGTGCTGCCGGATTTCCTTCTCTTCTTCCCACTGGCAGATGCAAGCACACAATAGGGTCCTTCATGATCGTGAAGGGTCCAGAAAATATGTCACATTTACCAGCCCCTTTCCCTCTTTCCCGAATGAACACAATGCGTGATCAGTAGAGATCACTCACTGTATTCATTCATAACTGAAGCATAGTAAACGTTTTTTTTTTGGGGGGGGAGGTCCTTTTAGGTTGGTTGTATGGGGCCCCGTAGTTTCTAACAGCAGCCCTGTTGATGGGCACTGATGGGGCTGCACTGATAATCAGGGTACTGATGATTGTTGCATTGATTATCAGTGTAAAAAATGTATTGTTGGCCTTGCTGGTTTGCTGATTATTGGCACTCCTTTCCTCACACAGTGTCTGTGGAAAGTATTGCCGATAACCAGCAAGCCTGTTTCCCTGTGACCAGGTGTGATTGCTGTGATTGGCCCTTAGCTGCCATCTGTGATCAGCTGTGTCCAAAGAACACAACGGTCACAGAGCGAGCCCAATGTGTGCCCCAGGGGGCGCGCAGGAGGTAAGTTCTGGGAGGACCTCCATGGACATCCTCCCAGGACTGGAGAACCGCATTGTAGTTGTTTTTTTTTTTTTCGGCTATAGAGTGGTAGGGAGCTGGATAAAGGGACAGATAGAAGGATTTTTCATGCATTTGTTGCCACTTTTTTTAAACTGATCAAAAATCTTAACAATTGTCCCAGTATTTAAAAAAAACAAAAAAACAAAAAAAAAAACCAAAACACTAGTCAATGGAGTCCTTATAGGGAAAGTTCTCCCTGCACTGCTCCTCTCCGGCGCCACCATCTTGAATTTATATCTGTCTCACGAGCAGACAAACTGCAGGGATCTTTGCCAGGTCTAAGGGATCCTGGCAGATCTCTGAGGGTGTGTCTGAGCATGTGCCGGACCCCTTGTGTATGCGCAGATACGCTGCGGACCCCAGGAATTAACTGGCATTCCTGGGGATGAGTACCATAGAAATGTGCAGAAATGGATCTCAGAACCCCTTCAAATTTTCTCATCTCTATGGTTGAAAATGAATGCCAATTTGACCCTGCTAATGATTAGAAAATCGAATAAAGGCTCTTAAAATGTAACACGTCTAATCAAACACCAATAATAATCTACTTTAGTTATCAGAGCTGGGAAGGGTTAGAATCTCTGTGAGGTTTTTATTCTGTGTTCGCATTAGGGAGATTCATCCAATTTGTCCTGTTGACTGAAAGTAAATCCCAAATTTTGAGTGGTCACCAGGACAGGAATAGAGGGGAAATCATCCAATGGGGACACTAGTTCTGCTGACAACCAGTGATTTTCCTGAATTTTGAGGGATAACAGCTTCAACTCTCCTGGGAAGGCTGTCCACAAGGTTTTAGGAGGGTGTTTATGGGAATGTTTGACCATTCTTCCAGAAGCATGTGAGGTCAAGTACTGATGTTGGAGGCCTGGTTCGCAGTTTCTGCTCTAATTCATACCAAAGGTTTCTATCAGGTTGAGGTCAGGACTCTGTGCAGGGCAGTCAAGTTCCTCCACCCAAAACTCGTTCATCCATGTCTTTATGGATCTTGCTTTGTGCACTGGTGCGCAGTCATGTTGGAACAGGAAGGGGCCATCCCCAAACTCTTCCCACAAAGTTGGGAGCATGAAATTGTCCAAAATGTCTTGGTATGCTGATGCCTTAAGAGTTCCCTGGAACTAGGGGCCAAGCCCAACCCCTGAAAAAAATAACCCCACACCATAATCCCCTCTCCAGCAAAATTTGCACTTGGCACAATGCATTCAGGCAAGTACCGTTCTCCTGGCAACTGCCAAACCCAGACACATCTATCAGATTTCCAGACAGAGAAGCGTGATTGGTTACTCCAGAGAACACATCCCCTCTGCTCTAGAGTCCAGTGGCGGCGTGATTTACACCACTGCATCTGACGTTTTGCATTGCACTTGGTGATGTAAGGATCCGATGCAGCTGCTCGGCCATGGAAACCCATTCCATGAAGCTCTCTACACACTGTTGTTGTGCTAATCTGAAGGCCACACCAAGTTTGAAGGTATTTAGCTATTGACTCTGCAGACAGTTGGTGACTTCTGCGCACTGTGCGCTTCATCCTGCGCTGGCCCCACTCTGTCATTTTACGTGGCCTACCACTTGGTGGCTGAGTTGCTGTTGTTCCCAGTTGCTTCCACTTTGTTATAATACCACTAACAGTTGACTGTGGAATATTTAGTAGCCAGGAAATGACCCAAATGGACTTATTGGTCAGGTGACCACCTATCACGGGACCACGCTTGGAGTCAATGAGCTCCTGAGAGCGACCCATTCTTTCACAAATGTTTGTAGAAGCAGTCTGCATGCCTAGGGGCTTGACTTTATACATCTGTGGCCATGGAGGTGATTGGAACACATGAATCCAATGATTTGGAGGGCTGGCCCAATACTTTTGGAAAAATAGTGTATATACAGATGAAACTCGAAAAATTATTGTTGAATATCGTGCAAAGGTTCATTTATTTCAGTAATGCAACTTAAAAGGTGAAACTAATATATGAGATACATATATGTTCTAATTTTCTTCTCTTTCCTCCTTTATTTGTTCTTGCCCAATACAAACACACACAAAGGGTAATAAACATGTGTTATAGCAAATACATGTTTTAAAGCATTACGTTTCGTGAGCATACATTGATTTCCAGAAAATACAATCATTACATGCAAAGCAAGATAGTTCAAGCCGTGATTTGTCATCATTGTGATGATTATGGCTTACAGCTCATGAAAACCCCAAATCCACAATCTCAGAAAATGAGAATATTGTGAAAAGGTGCAGGTACAAGTAAAAAAAATGCAGGATGCACCAAAAACGTGCAGGAAAAACATCAATCGCAACATGCATAGGAACGTAGATTAAGGCCCAATTCACATATGAGCTTGGCGAGAACTGGCATTTCCCGCACACTTTATTTTTTTTTTGCGCCATTTGGGAGCGTTTCTGCTCGTCTCTCATAGCGCAGCTGATAATCACTCTCAAAGAACCTCCAAAACTTTTTTGGAGCAGAGATTTTGGTGGGTATGCAGTGCATTTAGCGCACACGACAAAATGCGCACCTGCTACCCGCGCTTAGTCTGCTATTAACAACTAATGAGACGGCAAGCTCATTTGCAGTGCATTTCTGAAATGTTCAGCATAGCGTGTGTTCGGAAGCGCGCAGATACGAACAGAGCCTATTAGACAAAAAGGCAGCAAACGAAAAAAGTTCATTGTTGGAGTTTCTGTACATCCTGGCAGTTCATTTGAGGACTCGAACATCAATTCTTTAATTCTCTAATGCAATTGACACAAAAAAGATTTTACTTATGTAACAAACTTTATTTTAACTTAGCGTAGAGTTTGAAAAGACTTTGAGTAACTGAAGACTTTTAATGTAGATAATTGCAAAATTAGGCATTCTGAGCAACGAATTCCACCTGAAACATACACATTTAATGGACTGTTTGAGTCTTTCACGTAGAAATATTTAGGAGAAATTACAGAAAATTGACATGCAATATAACATGTTGTGTCAATCAAAGCTGTCAGGGTAATCTCAGGCATTAAAGTAATAGAGTCAGGAAATCTTTGTTTTTTTTTTTGTCTGTATAATATGTCGATTAGCTATACGAATAGATGTGATTCTGGATGTTGAATTGCAATTAATTATATCTGAAAGCTATTTCATCTCTTTATGTAATTTTATATATGGTGGGCCTCTCGGAGTCGAGTATGTTTTAGAGAATGTGCAGAGCCTTTTATGTGTTCACTGTTTTCATTATACTCCGAACTAAGATTTTTTTATTTTCTATTAAATATTTAAAAAAAAAAATATATATATATATATATATATATATATATATATATATATATATATATACATACACACACACACATACATACATACATACATACATACACATATACACCCACAGTGAGGAACAGAAGTATTTGAACACCCTGCGATTTTGCAAGTTTTCCCACTTAGAAATCATGGAGGGGTCAGGAATTCACATTGTAGGTGCATTCCTACTCAGAGACAGAACTAAAAAAAAATTTCAGGAAATCTCATTGTATGATTTTTAAAGAATGTATTTGTCTTGCACTGCTGAACAAAAGTATTTGAACACCTGAGAAAATCAGTGTTAATATTTGTTACAGAAGCCTTTGTTTGCAATTACAGAGGTCAAACGTTTCCTGTAGTTCCTGACCAGGTTTGCACTGCAACAGGGATTGTGGCCCACTCCTCCACACAGATCATCTCTAGATCTGTCAGGTTTTGGGGCTGTCGCTGAGCAACACGGAGTTTCAGCTCCCTCCAAAGATGTTCTATTGGATTTAGGTCTGGAGACTGGCTAGGCCACTCCAGAACCTTGATATGCTTCTTACGGAGCCACTCCTTGGTTATCCTGGCTGTGTGCTTCAGGTCGTTGTCATGTTGGAAGACCCAGCCACGACCCATCTTCAATGCTCTGACTGAGGGAAGGAGGTTGTTGCTCAAAATCTCACAATAAATGGCCCCATTCATCCTCTCCTTAATACAGTGCAGTTGTCCTGTCCCCTTTCAGAAAAGCACCCCCAAAGCATGATGTTACCACCCCCATGCTTCACAGTAGGGATGGTGTTCTTGGGATACAACTCATCCTTTTTCCTCCAAACATGACGAGTGAAGTTTAGACCAAAAAGTTATACTTTGGTCTCATCTGACCTCATGACTTTCTCCCATGCCTCCTCTGGATCATCCAGATGGTCATTGGCAAACTTCAGACGGGCCTGGACATGTGATGACTTGAGCAGGGGAACCTTCCGTGCAATGCATGATTTGAAACCATGACGGCATAGTGTTCTACCGACAGTGACCTTTGAAACTGTGGTCCCAGCTCTCTTTATGTCATTGACCAGCTCCTCCCTTGTAGTTCTGGGCTGATTCCTCACCTTTCTTTTCATCAGTGATACCCTACGAGGTGAGATCTTGCATGGAGCCCCAATCCGAGGGAGAATGACAGTCGTCTTTACCCTCTTCCATTTTCTAACAATTGCTCCAACAGTTGATCTATTTTCACCAAGCTGCTTGGCAATTGCCCCGTAGCCCTTTCCAACCTTGTGGAGGTTCACAATTTTGTCTCTGGTGTCTTTTGACAGCTCTTTGGTCTTGCCTATGGTAGTAGTTGGCGTCTGACTGACTGTGGGGTGGACAGGTGTCTTTAAAGAGCTCAGACAGGTGCTACTAAGTTAGATTAATGAGTGGAGTAGAGGTGGACTTTTTAAAAGGCACAGTAACAGGTCTTTGAGAGCCAGAATTCTTGCTGTTTCTCTCAGATGTTCAAATACTTATGTTCAGCAGTGCAAGACAAATAAATTCTTTAAAAATCATACAATGTGATTCCTGATTTTTTTTTCTTTAAATTCTCTCTCAGAGTGGGAATGCACCTACAATGTGAATTTCAGACCCCTCCATGATTTCTAAGTGGGAGAACTTGCAAAATCGCAGGGTGTTCAAATACTCCTGTTCCTCACTGTATGTATATATATATAATATATATATATATATATATATAATATATATATATATATACAGTCATGGCCGAAATTGTTGGCGAAAACCCTTGATATTTTTCCTGAAAATCAAGTATTTCACACAAAAAAAGGTATTGCATTAACACATGTTTTGCTATACACATGTTTATTCCCTTTGTATGTATTGGAACAAATATAAAACAGAGGCAGAAAAGCAAATATGACATAATGTCACACAAAACCCCAAAAATGGGCTGGACAAAAGTATTGGCACCCTTAACTTAATATTTGGTTGCACACCCTTTGGAAAACATAACTGAAATCAGTCGCTTCCTATAACCATCAATAAGCTTCTGACACCTCTCACACCGGAATTTTGGACCACTCTTCCTTTGCAAACAGCTCCAGGTCTCTCTTATTGGAAGGAAACCTTTTCCCAACAGCAATTTTAAGATCTCTCCACAGTGTTCAATGGGATTTAGATCTGGGCTCATTGCTGGCCACTTCAGAACTCTCCAGCGCTTCTTTGCCATCCATTTCTGAGTGCTTTTTGACGTATGTTTGGGGTCATTGTCCTGCTGGAAGACCCAGGATCTTGGACGCAAACCCAGCTTTCTGACACTGGGCCCTACAGTGCGACCCAAAATCCTTTGGTAATCCTCAGATTTCATGATGCCTTGCACACAGTCAAGGCACCCAGTGCCAGAGGCAGCAAAAACAACCCCAAAACATCATTGAACCTCCACCATATTTTACCGTAGGTACTGTGTTGTTGTTCTTTGTAGGCCTCATTCCGTTTTCGGTAAACAGTAGAATGATGTGCTTTACCGAAAAGCTCTATCTTGGTCTCATCTGTCCACAAGACGTTTTCCCAGAAGGCTTTTGGCTTACTCAAGTACATTTTGGCAAACTGTAGTCTTGCTTTTTTTATGTCTCTGTGTCAGCAGTGGGGTCCTCCTGGGTCTCCTGCCATAGCGTTTCATTTCATTTAAATGTCGACGGATAGTTCGCGCTGACACTGATGCTCCCTGAGCCTGCAGGACAGCTTGAATGTCTTTGGAACATGTTTGGGGCTGCTTATCCACCATCCGGACTATTCTGCGTTGCAATCTTTCATCAATTTTCCTCATCCGTCCACGACCAGGGAGATTAGCTACAGTGCCATGGGTTGCAAACTTCTTGATAATGTTGCGCACTGTGGACAAAGGCAAATCTAGTTCTCTGGAGATGGACTTGTAACCTTGAGATTGTTGATGAATTTTGCCACAATTTTGGTTCTCAGGTCCTCAGACAGTTCTCGTCTCCTCTTTCTGTTGTCCATGCTTAGTGTGGCACAGACAGACACACAATGCAAAAGGTTAAGTGAACGTCTCTCCTTTTTATCTGCTTTCAGGTGTGATTTCTATATTGCCCACACCTGTTACTTGCCCCAGGTGAGTTTACAGGAGCATCACATGCTTGTAACATTCTTATTTATCCGCAGTTGTGAAAGGGTGCCAATACTTTTGTCCAGCCCATTTTTGGAGGTTTGTGTGACATTATGTCGAATTTGCTTTCTTTTCCTCCCTTTTTTTGTTTTGTCCCAATACACACAAAGGGAATAAACATGTGTATAGCAAAACATGTGTTAATGCAATACGTTTCGTGAGAAATACATGATTTCCTGGAGAAATATCAAGGGTGCCAACAATTTCGGCCATGACTGTATATATACATACAGTATATATATATTCATTTAATAGGTACACCTGCTCAATTGCTTGGTAACACGAATTGTTATTCAGCCAATCACATGGCAGCAGCTCAATGCATTTAGGCATCT